GTTTGCCTTGCGTCTTGTTTCGGATGAGCTGACGGAAATTGAACAATACGCAAAGGGGCTTCCATGGGAGTATGCGGTGCCAGTACCCCAAACACCTACTCTTGAGGCAGCTATCTGTGCTGTAACAGCCTGAAATCCAGGTTAGCTGTATGGCCCTTCTATTTTGGAGAGTTGAAAATTTAGTCCCTTGAAGTTGAAAAGATGAATTGGTGAGTATGCTGGGCGTATTGGGGTGTACGCCGCGCGTACTCGCGTGCTTAATTTGTACGCAGGTCATCCGGGTACGCTGGGCGTACCCAAGGTTACGCCGAGCATAACCGGCCAAGATGCAAAACCCAAATTTTTGGCCTTGCACTATAAACGGAACATGTAGTCCCTTGCCCTAGCCACCATACACCCTTGAGAGAGCCCTTAAAGAGCTGAGATTCGTGCCTTAGGTTGTGTGTGAGTTTTTGAGCTTGAAGTTATCTTTTCAAGGTGAAGAATGAGAAGAAGGAGCCATTGTTGGAGCTAGAATTTGAAGAACAAGTGTAGATCCGAGTTCTATAGTGATTTGAGATCCTTTCTGAGGTAAAAAGCTCAAAGCTTTCCTTGTTCTTCATAACTTTTGCTTTTTGGACCATTTTTAGGGTTTTTGGTTCAAAGTTGGAGACTTTATGTGCAAAGAGTCTCCATAAGCTTAGATCTGACCTTTTCTAGTGTAATATGTGTTGACGAGTCATAAAAATCGAGTCTTGGATGTGGATCTTGTGGCATGCATGAGTTATAGTCTCATTATGGAAAGAGGAAAGGTGTTTTGAGCACAAGGTGACCTTTACAGCCATGCAAAGGCTTAAAGGTTCCAACTTTATGGTTTAAGACATATTAGAGGGGTCAGATCTGAAGTTTGGATGCAAGTCTTAACCGTTTAAGACCTAAATGTGTTGGACAAGGAAACTGGGCAATACGCTGGGCGTAAACCCAGTACGCGCCGCGTAGGGGGTCGCGTACCCCGTTTCTGGAGTGCAAGAGTACGCCCCGCGTACTGCTTGCTGTTGACTTTTTTTAACTTTTAGGGTTTTAGTCAACATGTGGACTTTTTGGTCAGGGAGGGGTAAAATGGTCTGTTACCCTTCTGTGGAGTTTTAGAAAGGAATATGGTATAGCCTTGAGATCTGTTAATAATTTAGAATGATTGTTTGATTTGATTAAGCGAGGCTAGGTCAAGGTTACGAGATTCAGAGATATCGAGCACGTGAGACTTTGGATATCATACGAGGTGAGTCTTCTCACTATACTGTACCTGGAAGGGTACCTATGTGTGATCGGAAGTTCTGGTATGCTGTAAGATATATGCACTGTATGTTAAGTTGCCTATTTTGTATGCGTTATGTATGTTATGCTTGATATGGGCCGGAAGGCATTATGTTATTGGGCGGAAGCATTATGATGAAGACCAGAAGGTCAGGGAGTTATGGACCGGAAGGTCGACACGGGTAGGACCGGAAGGTTTACCAGGTCGGGATGGAATTCCCTTGAGATACATAGACCGGAAGGTCATGGCCTGGAAGGGCGTATGTGTGTAAGTGGTATTGTGGGGAACTCACAAAGCATTTATGCTTACAGTTGTTGTGTTATGTGTTTCAGGTACTAGCGAGGACCGTGGGAAGGCGCCAGCATGACTCGTACACTCACACACGCAGGTGGATTGGGATTTATTTGATCTTGGGATTTGACATGTTTTGTATTATGACTACGTTACAATGGATTTTTTTGGTTTGTTTTGAATGAAATCATATTTTAAAGAAATGAAAAATTGTTTTGAAAAATTACGTTGTTACAAGTTGGTATCAGAGCCTTGGTTTGAAGGATTCGGATTCACCTTTGGGCATATCTGAACTCAAACTGAGGATTTGAGAAAATTTCAACAATAAAAACAAAATTTTCTAAAAGAGCAAGGAGTTTTGAAACAAACATAGCAGAGTAGTGTGTACGGTCAGCCAGCACCCAAATGGTGAATCCCCATAATACCCTTACATTATGTGTTATGAGATATGCTATGTTATGTTATGCATGCTAGAGTAGGCTAGGTATTCATATTAGGACTAGAGTGGCCTGATTTGTGATGCCTTAGCCTAGGAGAATTCTGCTGCTATAAGATGCTTTGAGAGCGAGTAGATAGCCAATGCATAGCGAGAATAGAGTACTTGCGATCCGGGATCCAAGGAGGAGGACTTGGGGTGAATGCTGATACACTGTGGTCAGTAGTATAGGGCCCGTACTACTGAAGACACTGGATCGGTGAGCAGCCCAAGTAAAAATCCTTTGGGTATTGGAGGACAAGTAGGGTTGCGTTATCGAGTGCGAGTATGCTCGATCGAGTCTCTGATATTTTTATGTTGTATTTCAGAGGCATCATGGTTAGGACACGACACACACCTGAGAGCAGTGGGGTCAGTGACGAGGAGATTCGTCGATTGATTCATGAGGAGGTGGCTGCTGCCATCCGGGCTGAGATTTCAGAAATGTTTGGGGACATCAATACCACACTGATTGAGACCTTTGACGAGCGGTATGCAGCGGTGACTGAGGTTGCAGCTGCTGCAGCTACCGCAGCTATTGTTGCTGCCAGATCTCAGGGAGGTGACTCGTTGTTGTTTCGAAAGTTCAGCAACACGAATCCACCAAAGTTCAATGGAACGCAGGACCCGATTACGGAGATGAGGTGGATCTCTAACATTGAGGGATGTTTCTATATGTGTTCTTGTCCAGAACACTTGAGGGTGCGGTTTGCTTTGAACCAGCTTCGCTTTGGAGCGAAGGATTGGTGGAAGTTCGTGACGGCGAGCTTCACTCTGGCAGAGATTTCTGAAGTGACCTGGGAGAGGTTCACCGCCATGTTCAGGGACGAGTATGTTCCCCCAGTGGACAGGGAATGGTTGGTTCATGAGTTTTTGACCCTCAAGCAGGGTAATGATTCAGTTACTTTGGTTATCTGAAAGTTTCATGAGAGGGCGATGTTCTGCCCTGAGCAGGTGTCGACGGAGCAGGCACGGACGAGCCGGTATTTGGGAATTTTGAGGAGGGACATTAGAGAGTTCGTGTCGAACTCAATGTACCGTACATTTGCTGAGCTTCAAGAAAATGCCCAAAAGCGGGAGATCGAGTTGGAGACTCAAGCCAGGGAGGAGGCCAAGTCTCAGAGGATGGATCGGTAGCCGGCTTAGTCTCAGCCGGCAGCCAAGCGGGCCACGCCCGCTAATTTGAGGACTGGAGGCCAGAAGGGCCGCACTTGCGGGAAGAGCGGCAAGGGTCATGGGGGAGCTTGTCGATCGGGTGCTTGCTACAAATGTGGCAGGGAGGGGCATATCGCCAAAGATTGCCATAAGGGATTTATGGTTTGCTTTCATTGCAACCAGACTGGCCATCGGAAGGCCTAGTATCCGCAGTTGCATTAGGGGACAGCGCAGGGATCTGTACCTAGCCCTGTCGAAAATACCCGTTACCCGAATTACCCGCTCGATTTTTTCGGGTATCGGGTAATTCGGGTCGGGTAATTCGGGTATCGGGTTAATTTTTTCAGGTAATTGGGTAACCCAATTTTTTTTCATGTCGGGTAAAGGGTAAGTGTATTGGGTTTCGGGTATACCCGAATTACCCGATATATATATATATATATATATATATATATATATATATATATATATATATATATATATATATATATATATATATATATATATATATATATATATATATATAACGTCTCAAATTCCCAAATCACAGCCCAATTTAATTTACCTCGTTCTTTTTCTCTACATCAAAAAAACCCTTTCTGCCTCTTCGTTCGTCACCGTCGAATCGTCGATCAACCTCAGGTTTTCGTCGCCACCTCCTCGCCGGTCTTCAGGTGGTCATCGGCTCGGCGCCGCCTCGCCGGTCATCAAGTTTTCGTCGGCTCGTCGCAGCGTGACTTCAGCTCGTCACCAGTCCAAGAAAAAAGCACGGATTTGAACTTCAAACTCAAATGTAAGTAATAACAACCAATTGATTCTCTTTTTGACATAGAAAATTAGCAAACTAGTGCAACTTTGAATGAGGTTCTTGTCGATTTAAAGAAAATTAGCAAACTAGTTTTAGCTTTCATTCGGTTATATTAGATTTCCAAATCTAATGATACTCTTTTGAGCTTTGCGTTGCGTTGGGTGATGAAAAAGGTTTAAATTTATTTTGTGGACATATTGATAAGTTAGAAGAAACCGATAAGTTAGAAGAAACCTCTTCCATTTGTGTCTCTATGGAAAACATATGCTGTGAAAAGCCACATTTGTTATGTCTTTATTGTGAGATCTGAACACATTTGGAAAATTCATATGTTAATGTTAGATTATCACCTGCATAAAAACAATAATATGTTAATGTGGAAAGAATTAGAAACATACCACCAGGATTATCACCATCTTTACTTCCCACAATAACATTATCACCTATATAAAAACAATAATATAGTTTTCATTAAAAATTATTGATATAGAACAATAAACAAGGGATAGAATTAGAAACATACCACCAGGATGAACGGAGATAGAAGAGATTTCATGAACTCCAGCTTCAAGCTTTTTGATGAACTTCTTGACAACATTATTTTTTATATATTATTATGTCTAGATACATAATAATATATAAAATGATCTTGTTTTGGTTAATAAACTATGTAAATATTGAGAAATGAAGTTTGTGCACTAGTTAGGCCCTTATGTTATTCATGCATGAACTATTGTATGCTTAATGCATGAACTATTGTAGAAAAGAAAACAATTTTTTGAGTTGCATATAGAAGAAAAATTGTCGTTAATTTAGAAAAAAAAAATAATGAAATATTTAACAAGTAATTATTAGGGTATTTTTGTTGTTTTTTTTATGTTTTATTTCCTGTTTTTTTTTTGTTGTTTTTTATGTTTTTTTTCCTATTTTTTTTTAATGTTTCTTAACAGTTTTTCTATTTTTTTTTCTTATTTTAGATGTCAAAAACGGATGACTATATTGAAGTGGAAGACGATACGATTGAAGTTGACAACCCAACAAATGATCAAGTTCCACAAGAAAAAGAGAAAAAAACTAAAGAATTCAACCCAAGATCGAAATTTTGGAATGAATTTGAAAGGTATAAGGACGAAAACGGTGTTCAAAGATGCAAATGTAAGCATTGTGGTGGTGGGAATTATAAGTGTGAATCGGGTAGTTATGGGACCAAAAATCTAGGTTATCATTTAAATAAATGTAAAGTTTACTTGGCTACACTTAATGGTGGGCAAAAACAACTAACTTTCCAATATGGTGATGAAAACAAATTGTCGGCTTGGAAATTTGATCAAAAGGAGAGTCGGAAAGCTCTAGCCCACATGTTGGTAGTTGATGAACTTCCTTTTAGCTTTGTAGAAGGTGCGGGTTTTAGGTATTACAATAGTGTTAATCAACCATTGTTTAAAGTTCCATGTAGAAGTACAAGCACAACGGATGTCTACCAATTGTTTGTAGAGGAAAAAGAAAAAATTCGTGACTTTATTAAAAAAAATGTTGGTAGAATATGTTTGACCACCGATACGTGGACTTCTAAACAACAATCATGTTATATGTGTCTCACCGCTCACTTTATTGATAACGAATGGAAATTAAAAAAAAAGTGTTGAGTTTTTCTTCTCAAGAGAGTCATCGTGGGGTTGATATTGGGAAAATGGTTGAGAAATGTTTAACGGAATGGGAAATAGAAAACGTTTTCACAATTTCTGTTGACAATGCAAGTGCGAATGATGTGGCAATTGACTTCTTGAAAAAAAGTTTTCAAAACTCCAACAAGTGTCTTCTAAATGGGAAATGGATGCACATTCGATGTATTGTCCACATTTTAAATTTAGTGGTGCAAGATGGCATAAAAACAAGTTGATAAGGCGGTGGAGATAGTTCGATGGGCGGTTAAATGGATTAGGCAATCGCCTTCTAGAATTCATAAGTTTATCGAGTTTGCTAAGGTTGCTAATCCCGGTATAACAAAACACTTGAAGAGAGATGTGCCAACAAGATGGAACTCTACTTACCATATGTTGGAAATTTCCCAAGCTTACGAAAAAACTTTTGAGAGATATGATCTTGAAGAATTTGATTTTCGGTACGAAATTGAAAATGCGGGTTTGTCGATACCTTCATCAAGCGATTGGGAAAGGGTTAGGAATGTATGTCATTTTTTAAAACCTTTTCATGATGTTACTTTGAGGATTTCCGGGACACTTTATGTGACATCAAACACATGCATTGAAGATATATATTCCATTCGTACGCTCTTGGATGATGCTATTTTCGATTCTAGTCTTTGTGATATTGCATTGACCATGAAAGTAAAGTTTGATAAGTATTTTGACGACATAGAAAAAATGAATTTATTGCTCTACTTTGCTTTGATTCTTGATCCGAGGAACAAAGTAAAGTATTTGGTTATACTACTTGAGGATCGTTATGGAGAAAAGGGGGTGGAGGCCAAAAAGAAATATATCATGGATTCTATGTATGAATTATATAATGATTATATTAGAATTCATTCTCCAAGTTCTACTTCAAGTACTGCCGAGTCTACCACTTCATCATCGATACTAGGGAAACGCCAAAACTCGGATTTTATGGCACCTAATCCCCCATTAAGAAATAAACTAAGAGAAAAAATGAAGACGAACATAGTTGAATCAATTGGGGAGTTAGAAAAGTATTTGCAAGAAAGTGTTGAAGACGACTCAGAAATGTTTAGTATTCTAGATTGGTGGAAAGTGAATAGTCCAAGATTCCCGGTTCTATCATTGATGGCTAGAGATGTGTTTGCCATTCCCGTCTCAACCGTGGCTTCGGAATCCGTTTTTAGCACTAGTGGGAGGGTGTTGGATCCGTTTAGGAGTTCTTTGACTCCTAAGATTGTTGAAAGTTTAATTTGTACACAAGACTGGATTCGGGGTAGCATAAGTGACACAATTGATTATGAAAAAGATTGGGAAGAAAATCAACAAATTGACAAAGGTAATTGTTTATCGTTCATTATTTTAATTATTGTAAATTTAATATATTTTCCTTTTAATAATAACGTTATTTGACTTTTTTATATAGAATTGAGCAAGATGAAGTAGTGAATGTGCAAGAAGAACGAGTAGGTGCAAGAAGACGAGTATATTTATGAATGTCTTTTGGAACTTGAATGTTATTTTTTTCATAATATGTAATGGATTTCTATGTTTTCTAGATTGACGACGTGAGTTTTTTTGGTAAATGCAAAATATATGTATATACATTGATATCAAGTAATTTAAATGATTGACTTTGGTTGTTATTATTTCTTTTAAGTATTTGTTTTTAACATCTTATTAGATTTGATTAAATCGTTAAACGAATACTTGATATCTCAAATATTATTGAGTAAAAAATCTCAATGTTCAAAATTTGAGCACGAAATACTTATTTCATTAAATTTATTTTTAGGTCCCATTTAAAAAAAAAAATCGGGTAATACCCGAATTACCCTTACCCGACCCACTACCCGAATTACCCAAACCCGAATTACCCGAATTTAGTTTGGGTAGGGTAACGGGTAAATTTTTTAACATGAATTACCCGAATTACCCGACCCGAATTACCCGAAACCCGAAAAATTTACCCGATTGACACCGCTATCTGTACCTGCTGCTACGGTTACCGAGGTTCGATCGGTAAAGGATGAGGCTCCGAAGGCTCGTGGGAGAGCTTTCCAGTTGATAGCGGAGGAGGTCCACGCAGCACCCGACGTTGTAGCCGGTATGTATTCTTCTCTCTATTTATTTAAGTCTGAGATATTATGCTTATATTATGTTATGCGTAGGTCCTTTTTTTATGAATTCTATGCCTGCCTTAGTGTTATTTGACTCGGGAGCGAGTCGGTCTTTTGTGTCGTTAGCCTTCAGTCGTCATATAAGTATTCATCGAGAGGCCATGAGTCGACCTCTGCGAGTTTCTATAGCTAACGAGCTAGCATTGTATGCCACAGATGTGATTCGAGGATGTATCCTTGAGATTTTCGGTGTGGAGTTCCTGATAGATATGGTCCCGATTGCGATGGGGGACGTGTGTGCTATAGTGGGCATGGATTGGTTGAGCCGATTTGGAACTGTTATAGATTGCGAGCGTCAATTGGTGACGATACGATACCTTAGTAGGGGAGTACTTACGGTGTACGGTGAGGGTACCTGTCCTGAGTCAGCATTTTGTTCGGCTTCTAGGGCGAGGCAGAGTTTACAGCAGGGCTGTATGGGATTTATGGCCTATGTGATGGACACACTAGTGGCCGTTGGGAGGCCAATTTTGACTGATGAGGTCCCAATTGTGCGGGAGTTCCCTTACGTTTTCCCTGAGGAGTTTCCAGGTGTGCCTCCCGAGAGGCAGGTGGAGTTTCGTATTGACTTGGTGCCAGGGGCAGCACCTATTGCCAAGGCACCCTATCGCCTTGCACCGTTCGAGATGCAGGAGTTATCCTTGCAACTTTAGGAGTTGTTGAGAAAGGGATTTATTAGACCGAGTAGCTCACCTTGGGGAGCGTCGATCCTTTTTGTCAAGAATAAGGATGGTTCATACCGGATGTGTATTGATTACTGTTAGTTGAACAAGATGATAGCCAAGAACTGTTATCCGTTACCGAGGATCGACTATTTGTTCGATCAGTTGCAGAGAGCGTCTTGGTTCTCCAAGATAGACTTCAGGTCCGGTTACCATCAGATGAGTGTTCGGGATGAAGATATCCAGAAGACAGCATTCAGAACACGTTATGGGCATTACGAGTTTGTGGTGATGCCTTTTGGGCTCACCAATGCACCAGCCGCATTCATGGATCTTATGAACATGGTGTGTAGATCGATGTTGGACCGATCAGTGATTATTTTCATCGATGATATATTGGTATATTCAAAATCCAGAGAGCAGCATGCGGAGCATTTGAGGGAAATCCTCGGAGTTCTGAGATCGGAGAGGCTTTACACCAAATTCTCCACGTGTGATTTTTGGTTACGAGAGGTCCAGTTCCTAGGGAATCTCGTTAACTAGCAGGGGATATTGGTCGATCCGGCCAAGATTGAGGCTGTGATGAGTTGGGAAGTGCCAAGGTCACCTACTGAGATCAGGAGTTTCTTAGGGTTGGCAGGCTACTATCGGAGATTTATCAGGGATTTCTACAATATCGCCGTGCCACTTAGCAAGTTGACCCGGAAGGGTGTTGCATTTTCTTGGGGTCTGGAGCAGTAGACCTCGTTTGAGACACTTCGCCAGAGATTATGCGAAGCCCCGGTGTTAACCCTTCCATAAGGGATGGAGGATTTCGTGGTATATTGTGATGCATCGATATCCAGGTTGGGAGCGGTGCTTATGCAGAGGGGGCATGTGATAGCATATGCACCGAGGCAGCTCAAGCCTCATGATTCGAGGTATCACACTCATGATCTGGAATTAGGAGTGGTAGTATTCGCCCTTAAGATCTGGCGTAACTATTTGTATGGGGTTCGGTGTACGATATACACGGACCACAAGAGCTTGAAGTATTTGATGGATCAACCCAACCTGAATATGCGCCATAGGAGATGGTTGGATGTAGTAAAGGATTATGATTGTGAGATCCTGTACCACCCGGGCAAGGCTAATGTGGTAGCCGATGCCTTGAGCCGTAGGGCGGAGGCCGCCCCGATTCGAGATATTTGCATGAGATTGACATTGATGACTCTGGTATGGGACGCCATTCGAAGGGCCTAAGCGGAGGCCGTGAGACCGGAGAATCGGAAGAGAGAGCGAGTGATCGGGCAGGTATCGGAGTTTATTACCGATAGTCGAGGACTTGTGACCTTCTAGGGTCGGGTTTGGGTACCGTTTGTGGGCAGGACGCGTACCGTCTTGATGGAAGAGGCGCACAGATCGAAGTTCTCGATCCACCTCAGGGCCACTAAGATGTATTTGGACCTAAAGAAGGAGTATTGGTAGCCCTGTATGAAACAGGATGTTGCATGGTTTGTAGAAAGGTGCTTGACCTGTCGTAAGGTTAAGGCCAAGCACCAGCCCCCGCATGGTAAGTTGCAGCCGTTAGAGATTCCCGAGTGGAAGTGGGAACAGATCACCATGGATTTTATTACCAAGTTGCCGAGGTCTGCCAGGGGTGTCAATGCGATTTGGGTGATCGTGGACAGGTTAACGAAGAGTGCTCACTTTCTTGCTATCAGTGAGAGCTCTTCTGCTGAGAGGTTGGCAGAGTTGTACGTGAGCGAGGTGGTATCACGACATGGAGTTCCGATCTCGATTGTTTCAGACCGAGATGTGCATTTTACGTCCAGATTTTGGAAGAAGTTTCACGAGGAGTTAGATACGAGGCTGCATTTCAGTACCGCATACCACCCACAGACCGACGGGCAGAGCGAGCGGACGATTCAAACGCTCGAGGACATGCTTCGGGCATGTGTATTAGATTTCACTGGAAGTTGGGACACGTATTTGCCCTTGGCTTAGTTTTCCTATAGCAACAACCATCACTCGAGCATTGGTATGCCACCTTTTGAGCTGTTGTATGGAAGGAGGTGTCGTACCCCCATTTGTTGGGGCGAGGTAGGGAAACGTGTGATGGGCAGTACAAAGATAGTGATTCAGACGACAAAGAAGATATGGCAGGTCCGACAAAGGTTAGTGACCTCTCAGAGTCGCCAGAAGAGTTACGCGGATAGGCGACGATCCGAACTCGAATTTCAGGTCGATGATTTCGTGCTCATGAAGGTATCTCCTTGGAAAGGAGTGATCCGATTCGGGAAGAGGAGCAAGATGGGACCCTGGTTTATTGGGCCGTTTAGGGTGATCGTGAGGTTTGTCAAGGTAGCGTATCGCTTGGAGCTACCTGTGGAGTTTGACTAGATTCATGATACCTTCCACGTGTCACAACTGAGGAAGTGTATTGCCGACGATTCGGCAGTAGTGCCGCTGGAGGATATTCAGGTGGATGCAGGCCTGAATTATGCTGAGAAACCAATTGCGATTCGGGATCGGAAGATCAAGGTTCTAAGGAACAAGGAGATATCGTTGGTGCAGTTTCAGTGGTAGCATCGGAAGGGGTCCGAGCTGACGTGGGAGTCAGAGTCAGAGATGCAGGAGCAGCATCCGGAATTGTTCTCGGTATAAGACTTCGTGGGCGAAGTCTGGTTCTAGTGGGGGAGAATTGTAACAGCCCGAAATCCAGGTTAGTTTTATGGCCCTTCTACTTTGGAGAGTTGGCAATTTAGTCCCTTGAAGTTGAGAATATAAATTGGTGAGTATGCTGGGCATACTGGGGTGTACGTCGCGTGTACTTGCGCGCTTAATTTGTACGCGCGTCATCTGGGTACGCTAGGTGTACCCAAGTTTATGTTGGGTGTAACTGGCCCAGATGCAAAACCCTAACTTCTAGCCTTGCACTATAAAAGGAATATGTAGTCCCTTTCCTTAGCCACCATACACCCTTGAGAGAGCCCTTGAAGAGCTGAGATTTGTGCTTTAGCTTGTGTGTGAGTTTTTGAGCTTGAAGTTGTCTTTTCAAGGTGAAGAATGAGAAGAAGGAGCCATTGTTGGAGCTAGAAGTTGAAGAACAAGTGTAGATCCGAGTTCTGTAGTGATTTAAGATCCATTCTGAGGTAAAAAGCTCCAAGCATTCCTTGTTCTTCATAAGTTTTGCTTGTTGGACCATTTTTAGGGTTTTTGGTTCAAAGTTGGAGACTTTATGTGCAAAGAGTCTCCATAAGCTTATATCTGACCTTTTCTAGTGTAATATGTGTTGAAGAGTCATAAAAATCGAGTCTTGGATGTGGATCTTGTGGCATGCATGAGTTATAGTCTCATTTTGGAAAGAGGAAAGGTGTTTTGAGCACAAAGTGACCTTTAGAGCTATGTAAAGGCTTAAAGGTTCCAACTTTATGGTTTAACACATATTAGAGGGGTCAGATCTGAAGTTTGGATGAAAGTCTTAACCATTTAAGACCTGAATGTGTTGGACAAGGAAACTGGGCATTACGTTGGGCGTAATCCCAGTACGCACCGCGTAGGGGGTCGCGTACCCCGTTTCTGGAGTGCAAGAGTACGCCCCGCATACAGGAGCTGGTACGCCCCGCGGACTGCTTGCTGTTGACTTTTAGGGTTTTAGTCAGCATGTGGAGTTTTTGGTCAGGGAGGGGTAAAATGGTCTTTTACC